TCTGTCTTAAATGTACTCAATGACCTGGCCTCCACAGCCTTCTATGGCAATGAATTTCAAGCAACTGATCAAGAACACCCCATGAGAATATCAAACACTGTTTGGCCATTTCTGGGAAAGCAATAAGCTCTATAGTGGCTGCTAATGGTTCATAACTTTGTATGTTGGACAATTTTGGCGAGATTACACATTGCCTCTAAGCACTCCTGTCCCATTTTCTGTCAAACCAGAAAAACTGACCAATTCCTCGTGGTATTTAAATTCAATTAGTAATTCAATTGTTTAATCTCATTCAAAAGAATGCTTTATATTTCTCTGACTTTGCACTGATCATCTTGGCCTTCCCCACCACAAACCCGCTCCCCCAGGACATCCACTTTTAGATATTTGTTTTTGACCACCACAGCTTCTTTCATAACTTCCTGTTTGTACTGGATTGAAGTCAACTGTTGTCACATGGACCGATATTTCTTATTATCCTAGAGGCTTACAATTACCTCTTTACAAACATGCTACCTCCTAAACATTCTTTTCAAATATTTGTTAAAAACAATTACAGATTCCACACATCTTAAGAAATTACAAATTTTCCTTGCTATACTGCTTCCAGCTCAAAGGTCATCTTTAAAGAAATAGAAATATTTATTCAGTTAATGTTAAGATTCAGATACAAAATATTTTTTAATCAACTGTTCACAGATGTTATTACACATCTCTGGAGCAGGTGGGACCTTGAACCTAAGCCTCTTGACTCAGAGATAGGGACACTGCAGCACACACTGGCTTCAGTGATGTGGATTAGTACTGTGCCCTTGCACTGCTGGCTTTCAGTCTGCCTAGACTGATGGCATACAAGTCTCCTCTTAGCTTTAGGAGCCCTACCAGAAATCAATTTGAACAGTCAGTTCAGTTGAGTAAATGTAAACCACAGCCCCAAATCATCCATCTTGTGGTATGCATTGGCCTACAATCGATATTCTTATTTGCGTAAATACAGAAAGGCTACTTGTGTCAGTATTGCTGTTTAGTGCAGAAATTGTACAGAAGGTATGGGTGAAGGAGCCTTTCTCCTCCACCTGGCTTTGCAATACCTGACTGACAGTTTTCAGTGTACACGTCAAAAAATAACATCACTCGTCCTCTTTTATTTAATTCAAAGGTTTGGTAATGCACGATTTTTGTTACTGGCTACTGGAAAAATCTTGACTTTTATAAATTAAAAGAAGGCTGACAGCTTCATTTTTAATAATTGAAGAAGTGTGTCGTTATTCATTTTCTATTGTTTTAATAGTTGTTTATTGCTAGTTTCGTGTTCTGCTCTGATTCTCAATTTCTAACTTAAAGAGATCCCACCTAACTTCTGACGGTTGAAATACCAGTGAGTGTGAAATGGCCAAAATGCTATTGGACCTGTATCAATGTTTAAAAGGGAAAGCTCAGCTGGTCTGGCAGCATCCGTAGAGAGAAATCAGAGTTAACATTTTGGGTCCGTACCAGATACGTTAACTCTGATTTCTCTCCGCAGGTGCCCCCAGACCTGCTGAGTTTTTCCAGCAATTTCTGTTTTTGGTTCTGATTTACAGCATCCACAGTTCTTTCAGTTTTTATTTAACAGGTAAAGGTTTGAAGATCCATCACCAATAGAAATCACACAGCGAGAACTTTAGAAACTTTTTTTGACTGGGTCGTCATCCATCAACATTGGAAAGAAAACAGCACCCTCTGGTGACAAATTCAGACTCCCATAATCTCCAATATCTACATATTGGAGGATCAAAGGGAAGTAGCTGCTATTTGATGGCCCCTAGTGGTTAATATTCTAACCCCATGTTGGTCTTAAAGCATAAAGTTTGGAAATAATGGTTCTGTGACAAAGATGAAGTTATTTTAAACCAAGATTATATGATGAAAAAGGATTGCCTAACTAATTATATAACATAATTTTAATGAAACCACCTGAATGAAATGTTCTTTCCAACTATGGCTGCTTTCTATTTTTGAAATACAAACCTTTGAAACTTTCAAAACAATGTTAAATAGATTTGATGCAATATGATTAGTCATATCTGAAATAATGTTTATTTTTTGCTTTTATGTGAAGATTCAATTATACCAAACAGCAAACTGATCAAGATTGCAGGAATTTGATAAAACTGGGTATTTGTATTCAAGAGGAATAGTTAATAAACCCTTTTTTAAACTCGGCCATTTCAAAACTGCTATTATCCCAAATCTTCAGGCTCAGCCATCAAAATAAACAAATCACAGAAATATAAAATGTGAACAATTTTATGTAGTTTTTGCAATAACTGCCAATAGGTCTTTAGTCACATGGAATGGCCAAGGTAATCATTATGTTTACTTTAAATCACTTTTTGATTCAATATCAAATCAAAATATATTTATCAATGTGGCTCAAGCAATATGGTAGTTCTGTGGTGATCACACTGGACTAGTAATCCAGAAGTCCTAGCTAATGCTTTAGCGGCATAGGTTCAAATCTCACAAAAGCAGCTGGTGGTATTTAAATTCAATTAATAAACCTGAAGATAAAATCTACTATCAACGACAAAGAGCAGGACAATCACCATTGAATCTGGTTCCTAATGTTCTTCCATGAAATGGTGTAGCAAGCCACTCAGTTCAAGGGCAATGAAAGACAGGCAACAAATGCTTGTCTTGCCAGCAACATCCATACCCCATCGAAGAAAATAAGTTTAAAATATCTGCATTGCCTTAAAAACAAGTGAGATCAACAAAAAGAAATGATCCCAAGTATTAGAATTTGAAAATAAATTAATAGAATTTACATAAATAGCTAATCAATTCCAGTGAAAATACATTTATCTGCGCTTTGATGGCTGACAATCGTTCCCCAATGAGGAATGGTCTTGTGGTCTAGCTTCAAATTCTGATTTTTTTTGAGAGAGATTATTTTATACTGGTAATATCTATGGCCAGCAGCAGGGAGAAAAAGGACATGCACCCAAGTGTGACAGAGAGCAGTAAAGTGTTTCAGGTATCTAGCAAGTTTTACCCAATGTTCTCATCCTATCAATTTATGGCTCGACTAATGGTTTGGTTTTGCCAAACATAAAACCATAGAAACCTTCATGAGGGATGGTAACAGGATTATGTTAATGGATTAATAATTTAGAGACAGGAATTCAAACTCCCCACGAAAATCAGCTGTAACGGAGTTGGTCGCACAGTTATCTTTGAACAAAATGTGAGCTGAAGTTGGACTCCAAAATTAAGCTCAGTATTTTGGGCTGCCACAGCCAGTGGAGCAGAGGGGCACCACGGATTAGAGATTAATCCGATGATTTTAAATTGCAGACAGAAAGAGATCCAGTCACACTATTTCTTACAGCAGAGGAGTTATCGTTGGCATCTTGGTCAATAAAAATCCATCAATCAGCATCACTGAAAACAGATTATTTGATAATAATCACATCGCTGCTGTTTGTGGGAGATTTCTGGCGACAGATTGGTTGTCAGGTTTCCACCCAATAACAGCAACTATACTTCAGAAGTACTTCATTGACTGTGAATTGCTTTCAAAACGTCCTGCACTCATGGAAAGTACCAAATAAAATCTTTCTTTATAGCCACCGGGGAGCGGAGATAAATCTGAAAATACAAATGCTAGCATCAGTAATGGTAACCATCAAATTACCAGCTTGTCATAAAAACCTATTTGAATTTCCTACCCCACCCTCAAGTGCCAGTTTGTCTGGCTGACATGTTCCTTCAGACCCACAGCAATGCAGTTGACTGTCTGTCTGTGAACTAGTCTAGCAAGGCACTTATTTGCACAGGAATGACAAATAACGATCCAATGATGTCCATGTCCCATAACTAAATTAAAATAAAACTTAAATCTTTAGATAGTAGGAAAAGGGAATATTATAGCTTGAGGACTCAAGGGATTACGGTCCAAGTTTATGAATAGTAATATACACTGAATGCAACAGCTTTAATGAGAAGTACAACTGTAGTTTGGTTATTTAGTTTCAAAGCAGAAAATGGGAATGTATCAGTTTGGATGAATGTAATTCCCTGGCCCTAAACCACAATGTGCACAGGAGGTCCATAATCAAGCTTCACTGTTGGCATTTGGAAACAATATCTGCTCATATTTTCGAGACAGAGGTTTGTCTTGAAGGCTAGCAATTCCAATAAAATGCTCTGGTAATCTCAGGAATCCAGGGATTTACAGACAAAAATAGAATCATGGTGAATTATACTGACCTACTATCCTCCTGGTAGTTGCATAATACTGTAATCAAGTTGTTGACTAATCATTGCTGTCAATCAGTGGAATGCAGACCCATTCATGACACAGGGATAAACCCAGAGTTGGGAAGCTTTTGGCACTACTGATCCAAATGTTACCTATTCCTCAAGCATGTTACACTTCCCCCATCATGTCCTAAACCTCTCATACGGCTTCCCAAATCCTTACATAATTCAAATGCATCTCCTGAAGTACTCTTCTCCACAGACTCTCAACTTACTTGAGACTTTTCACGCTGCGATTGGATTCTGTTATGTAGTAAGCCATCCTCCTTTATTCTATTTGTCTGCAGCAAGCTGAATCCAGAGTGACAAAGTGGCAGCTGCGTGGACGGTCAGTGGCATCATTTGATTCAAAATAGAATTAAAATTTTCTCCAATAATCAAATGAATATTAAGGAAATACTTGTTAAACATTCTTATTTGAAGTTCTGGGCACAATCTTTGTTAATGTGTTATAGGATTGGGGTGGAGGGATTTTTCTTTTTAAAACCTTATTTGTGAAGACACACACAATGTGTGCATTAACTACTGAAAGAACCGAGCAGAAATTTTTCCATGAACTTAGAAAATCAAGCTGAGCGCTCTATAGATTTATAATACCTTACAAAGATAAGATGAGGTTTAAAAGTGTTACAAAACATAATAAATTTCAATTCTTTGCTAATACCATTCTAAAGGATTCTTACAACACTGCAGGATTAAAGAAAAAAGTCATTTATTTAGACATATGCTTTAAAAATTAACTTTAACAAACACCTGAAGTATAAAGCATAAATATGCTTACACAAAAGTCCATATACAAAACAGCTACATCCTTTCCCTTCACTTCACTGTGGGACAACACAGTAAGCTTGTTCAAGATGGGACTCTCAAATTTAGATGTAATCAAGCTCATTTCAAATTAAAACAATTGCTTCTGGATTTTCCAGAGTATAATTTGATTGAATAATGTGACCTCCAGTCATCACGCTTTTGCTTTATCAACAGCAAAACTGCTGTCAGCAAATGTTTCAAGCTTTTCTCAAAAGATTTCTAGTCAACTTAGTTAAGTTTCCTTTCCCTGATCATCATCTTCTATCTTTTTGATTTCACTCTTTAAATAGTTGATTGCTTCACGACTTGCTTTCAATCTTTCTTTAAACTCTGCAATTTCAAAGCTGGTCTTCTTCTTGGCAGCTTCCAGCTTTTCCCTAGTTTTTACCTCAAGCTCGGCAACTAGAAAACAAACAGTAAAGTTTATCATAATAGGCATAAATTCTGTAAAATTATCAAATTTATTCATTTTTGTACAGAACTACTGACAGTTATTTAACCTGTCACAAAACTGCCTGGCTGCCTTTATACTTTAAAGCTCCTTTATCAATAACTTTGAATCTTTGGATGAATTACACATTGGAAAGGAACTTTGGAGATGGGTTTTATTTACGTAAAGAGAGGTTTTAAAACATAATCCAGACTTGAATCAAGAAGTACCAATAGCTGAAAATGGAAGCCTATTAGAAGTCGCAATAACATACTGATGCACAAGCTTCCTTTTAATGTATCTCAAATTTAACATGTTTCTACAGCAACATTAAGACACAGCTGTACTCTCCAGCTAGCCCAGCAAGGAAGTGCTCCTTCCCAGCTAGTTAAACAAAATGAATATCACAATCAAATCCTATCCTTATGGTCGAGTGCTTTAAAAATAAATACAACTTATAAAGAGAGGAACAGGAAGGAAGAAACTGGAGGAGAAAATGTACTCTATCCAATGAACTACAATAACTAACATAGTCAATATCAATCACTGCTGTTGCATTCCTAGCTGCAATTAATACATGTACCATGTGAGGTGTAATGGAGTAATTCCAACAATCATAGCCTAAGAATAAATCTCTCGTATTTGAAAATAGGTCTCTATAACAGAGTTGGAGAGCAGAAAAGCTGGTCAGGATCTCCAATGCTGACTGCTATCCCAATACATGGATTTCAGTTGAGGATAGAGTTGACCTTGGCTGAGGTACAACTTGCACAGTTACCCTGTCTAAGTTTACATTTGAAAGGCTAAATTAGTAGGTGACTGGAAAATGGCCACTACTTATTGTGAACCATTACCCCTGGAGGATTTGGGCCTGATAAAGATGAATACAGAACAGAATCCCTACCATGTGGAAACAGGCCATTTGGCCCATTGAGTCCACACCGACCCTCTGAACAGCATCCCACCCCCTACCCTATCCCTATAATCTGGCTAATCCACCTCACCTATATCTTTCACTTCCCCAGCATATCACCAAGTGCTTTGTTTATAATTAAATGAGTTACTTTTGAACAAGAGACATGATTGTATAGAGGACCGTAACAAATGTTTTCAAGCAGCAACGTTCAATGAAAAACAGCAATTGTGTTAAAATGACTAGTTATTCAGTTAGTTGGTGTTACAAACCATAATCTGGAAAGTGGAATAAGGCTAGAAATGATCATTATTGGCTGGCACAGAGTCAAATGGCATCTTTCTGTGCTGCAAATCTTTCCATGCAATTTGAATTAAACAATGGTTAACATAGCTAGACAACTTGCAACTCTTCTTCAATTAATGCATCAGGAACTTTTACATCCACCTGAACAGTTAGGGTTTCAATCCAATATCTCATCTAAAACTGGTAGCTCTGAAAGCTTAGTGCCACCTGTGCAGTAGTAAACTATCAGTCCTTATAATATGTTCATGATCTGGAAGATCTGATTTTTGATGCTGATGTATGCTATTAGTGCTCTTGCACTGCTGGCCATAAAACATTTAAGAAAGAAATGGTCTTTTTGTTAAACTGCTCACGTTATTCGTTTTCCTCCTTTACAGTAATTTGCAAGTGTACATTCAAAATATAGTTACTGCACAATGCCTAATCATTTACAACCATTTGGTGCAGATAGCTCTATCTACAAAAATCTAACTTGAAATATCTAATACTCAGGAAATACATTACACAAGTAGCATTTTTAAAAAGCCATAACTGAAGCAACTATATAGAAATTGTGAAAGGCACTACATGAATTTTTTTTTTTTAAACTGTCAGTTGTTACAAAGGCTTTATATTCAAGGAAACAAATGATCAAGAGCACTTTTTAGAATTACATAACTGCACTTTTTATCTAACTTATCTATACAGGTATATCAGCAAGATCTTACACTCAGTTTCATGTTTGTAGGCTCCAAGTGTCAATTGTCGAGATGTTGTCAACAGCTGTTGCATCATTGCAGTAGGATCTTGAAAAATCTAGATCGGAAAATAGGCAAATAGGAAATCAGATTCTCTCGATGTCTTTGCCTATTTAAAAAAATATCAAACTGAAGGTTTGTCTGTCTTTCTGGTCATCTAAAAAGATTTATTGTGCAAAAGATTCTGTTCTGTTCTTCTGAGTTACATTACTTTGTTAGAACGAACATACATATAAGGAACAAAAATAGATCACTCAGCCCAAGCCTGAAATCTACAGCATTGAAATATTCAATATACACAGCAAAATGATAAAGCTGATCTTAACTTCAACTTTATATTCCTGCACAGCCCCGAAAATCTTTCATTCCCTTAGAAATCAAAAATTTATCTGCCTCTGCCATAAAAGTATATAAAGATTCTGCATCCACTGCCTTTTGCGGAAGGGAATTCCAAAGACTCTCAACCCTTAGAGAAAAAGAAATTCTCATTTCTGTCTGAAACAGGCACCACTTTATTTTTAAACCATGAACACGAGTTCTAGATTCTCTCCAGAAGAAACATCCTTTCCGCATCTACATGGTCATGTCCCCGCAGGATCTTGTATGTTTCAATTAAAATACCTTATTCTTCCAAACACCAGAGGGTACAGGTTTGGCCTGTCTAGCTTTTCCTCATAAGGCAATCCACCTATTGCAGGTATGAGTCTGGTGAACCTTCTTTGAATGGCTTCTAATTCATTAGCATCCTTCGATAAGTACAGTGACCCAGATGCGGTCTCACTAATGCCTGCATCACTGAAGCATCATCTCCCTACTCTTGCAATCAATTCCCCTCACAATAAAACAATATTCTATTAGCTCTCCTGATTAGTTGCTGTACATACAGACTAAGCTTGTGCGTTTGATGCACAAGGACACCCAGATCTCTCTGTATCTCAGAGCTCTGCAACTGCTCACCATTTAGTTAATATGCCTTTTTTAAAATCCTTTATGCTAAAATGTACACAATTTCCCACATGGTACTCCATTTGGCACATATTGCAGCCTCACTTAACCTGTCTATATCCCTCTGTAAGCTCCATATCTCCTCTTCATAACTCACTTTCCTAACTATCTTTGCAGGGATTACATACAATTTTGGCCCCCTTAGTTGAGGAGGGATGTGGTTGTGTTGAGGAGGAATGTAGTTGTATTGGAGGCGATTCAAAGGAGGTTCACTAGAAAGATTCCAGAGATGAGGGGTTTGTCATATGGAGAGAGATTGAGCAGCTTAGTCCTATTATTCTCTAGAGTTTCAAAGAATGAAAGGAGATCTAATTGAAATGTATAAGATACTAAAGGGGAATGACAAAGTAGATGTAGATAAGATGTTCCTCATGTAGGGCAATCTTGAACGAGGTCACAGGGTAGCAGATTTAAAACAGAAGTGATGAGGAGAAATTACTTCTCTCAAAAGGCTGTGGATCTGTGAAGTTCATTACTCCAGAATGCAGCAGATGCTAGGGACCTTAAAGTAAATTTAAGGAGATAGATTTTTAATTAGTAACGGGTTGAAGAGTTACAGACGGTGAACAGGAAAGTGGAATTGATGCCAAGTTGAGATTAACCACAATCATATCAAATGCAGAGCAGACTCAAGGAGCTGAATTGCCTACACCTGCTCCTAGTTCTTAAGCTATTATCAGCAAATTTAGCCACCATACCTTTGGTTGCTTCATCCAAATCTTTCAAATGAACTATAAAGAATTGACTAACCCCTGTGGCACACCACTCGACGTCCTGCCAGTTTGAAAAAGACCCACATATTCTACTCCCTGCTTCCTGTGAACCAGCCAATGTGTCACACCCAAAACTGAGAGATTTTATTTTCTGCAAGGTTTTATAGTGTAAAACATTTTCAAACTGCAATTCTTGTGGTCATTCAATTTTTGTACTCTGATCAAGTTAGGTTATGGAACCTAAAGAATATGCAATACTTGTACAGAACACCTGCCATCGCAAAACTGTGACATAGTCCTTCAAATCTGAATTGTATTTAGTAAAGAAACTTTACATTCAGAAACCTGCGAGTTTCTTTTTGTGCTTACCATTTCATCATAAAATTCAGAGACTACTGTCTTTTTGCCCAACATTACATTGCTATCAGACTGAAACAGCTTCAGCAAGTGATAAAGAGTCACCTATTTAACAGAAAGAATCATAGTAAATTATTTAAATATAGAATATTTTAACAACTATCACCAAAATCAATTAGATATCAGCAAGTTAGTCACACAGCAAGGACATTCAAGGCTTTGTGAGTGAATGTATAATCAATAAATTAGTTTTACAGCTGAAGAGAGGTCCTCCTGGCTTGTTGTAACCCACATTCAGGAAATAAAAGTATATAAGTATAAAAGCGCTGGACTAAATAGACGTGCTTGAGAAGCATTATGATAGGGAACATACAATTATTAGGAAAGAATTTCAATGACTATTATCCTTCAGTCCCTCTGAAACTTCACCCATTTCTCTATGGTTTTGGCTGACATGATACAGAGCGGAAAAGTATCCCATTAACTGTAAAGGCAGATCCAATACAAATTTGGGCAGAAACAGATGTCAACTTACAGGATGCTACAATCAAGCCAAAACAATGTTCTGCCTATTGCACAAATCAGTAATATGGAATATGAATTTCGGTGCTGGGGTGAAGCTAGCAATGGCAAATACTAATAGATTGTACTAAACAGCATATCTCCTCAACTGTCTGCAATAAGAACTATGACTATACATTACAATCCTGCATTGCAAAACTTGCATTGCAGAGTCTAAAATTAGATGTGATTCTACAATTGGACAACATTTACTGGGCAATCCAGAATGTGAAAAATTACACTGACAACCAAGTTACAATTGTCAGTAGGGCTCACAATGTGACGCACTTGCATTTACTGGAAGCTACACATCGTAGTAGGCAGGGCCCTGTTCTTTACAGACAGAAATAACATGTGCATGCACTTCATCTGTTTCAACTCAACAAAACAGATGACCGCCATACCTTGGTTCATTTCTTAAGGCAAAGCCCTAACCAATCAGAACGAACCTTGTGGTTTAAGATTTAAACAAAGCTTGATAGTTGATTGTCAAACATCATTAAACGGTACATTCTCTGTGGCAATGCCTCTACCAGAATTCACTCGTCAACCAAGCAGCACTCTCCTCTCACGTACAATAAATGTTGCTTTTTCCTTTGAATCAATATTATTGCAAATTGTACTGATAAGTACAAGGTGAGAAGTCTCAGCAAAATGTGTCTTTTATTCAGCAAAACTCAAGTACACTAACAAATACTATTCCTTGTGACCAAGAGGTTTCTTTTGAAATTCGAAATTAGACATGTTTCTTACCGGCCTTTCATTTGGATCAATGAAGAAAATTTTTATGATAATTTCAAATTCACCCCATCCTGTTTCTGTGATTTCATATGGTGGCTTGGTAACAACTGGAGACAGGAGAGAGAAAGGTAAATCAACTTATTAAAATAGTTTTCAGAAATCTATTGGATTTAAATATTCAAAATATAGAGTAAAATTATAAAGCTGCAAGAAAAAAAGTGTTTTTATTTCTACAATTCCATTGAAATTTTGTCAATTAAAAATACTTGTTCTGGACACGAAGATGACACTAACAAGGCAATATTTAATGTTCATTTCTAGTTGCTTGAGGCTATCAAAAATCAGTCACATTGCGAGGGACTAAAGTCACATGTCGACCAGATTTTTGTTTTTATTTATTTATTTTGTGGAACGTAGGCATCGCTGGCTGGGCCAGCATTTCTTGCCCGTCCCTAGTTGCCCCTTGAGAAGGTGGTGGTGAGCTGCTATCTTGAACCACTGCAGTCCACCTGCTTTTGGTTGACCCACACTGCCATTAGGGAGGAAATTCCAGGATTTTGACCCAGCGACAGTGAAGGTATGGTGATATATTTCCAAGTCAGGATGGTGAGTGGCTTGGAAGGGAACTTGCAGGTGGTGGTCATCCTATGTATCTGCTGTCTTTGTCCTTCTAGATGGAGGTGGTTGTGCATTTGGAATGTGCTGTCTGAGAATCTTGAATGAATTTCTGCAGTGCATCTTGTAGGCAGTAGCAACAGCATGCACAGAGTGCCAGTGGTGGAGGGATTAGATGTAGTGACAATCCAGCGGGCTGCTTTGTCCTGGATGGTATCAAATGTCAAGTGTTGTTCGGGCTGCACTCACCAAACAAGTGGGGAGTATTCCACCACACTCCTGACTTGTGTCTTGTACATGGTGGACAGGCTTTCAGGAGTCAGGAGGTGAGTTACTCGCCACAGTATTCCTAGCCTCTGACCTGCTCTTGTAGCTGCTGTGTTTATGTGGTGACTGTACAGGATAAGCTTGGCTAGGGGAGCAGCAAGGTCTGGAGTACAAGTCTTCAGTACTATTGCTGGAATGTTGTCTAGGCCCATGGCCTTTGCAGTATCCAGTGCCTCCAACCATTTCTTGACATCACGTGCAGCAAATCAAATTGGCTGAAAACTGGTATCTGTTATGCTCGGAACCCCTGGAAGAGGCCAAGATGGATCATCCACTTGGCACTTCTGGCTGAAGATTGCTGCAAAAGCTTCAGCCTTATCTTTTGCACTGATGTGCTGGGCTCCTCCATCATTGAAGATGGGGATATTTGTGGAGCCTTTTCCTCCAGCAAGTTGGTTAATTGTCCACCACCATTCCTGACTGATGCAGCAGGACTTCAGAGCTTAGGTCTGATCTGTTGGTTATGGGATCACTTAGCTCTGTTTATCACTTTCTGCTTATGTTGTTTGACATGCAAGTAGTCTTGTTTGGTGGCTTCATCAGGTTGATATCTCATCTTCAGATATGCCTGATGCTGCTCCTGGCATGCCCTCCTGCACTCTCCATTGAACCAGGCTTGATACCCTGGCTTGATGGTAATGGTTGAGTGGGGGATATGCTAGGCAATGAGGTTATAGGTTGTTCTGTAGTACAATTCTGCTGCTGTTGATGGCCCACACTGCCTCATGGATGCCCAGTCTGGAGTTGCTAGATCTGCGTGAAGTCTGTCCCATTTAGCACAGTGATAGTGACACACAACATGATGGAGGTTATTCTCAATGTGACGGCGGGACTTGGTCTCCACAAGGACTGTGCGATGGTCACTCTTATTGATATTGTCATGGACAGATACATCTGCAGCTGGCAGACTGTTAAGGATGAAGTGAAGTATGTTTTTCCCTCTTGTTGATTCCCCCACCACCTACCGCAAACCCAGTCGAGCAACTGTGTCTTTTAGGACCCAACCAGCTCAATCTGTAGTACTGCTCCTGAGCCACTCCTTCATATAGAGGGATCTAGGCGTATAGATCCACAATTCCCTGAAAGTGACAACACAAGTGGAGAAGGTGGTCAAGGCAGTATATGGCATGCTTGCCTTCATCAACCCAGGCATAGAGTTTAAAACTGGCAACACATGATGTAACTGCACAGAGCTGGAGTCAGTTAGGCTACATATGGAATATTGCGTACAGTTCCAGCTGCCACACTGCCAGAAAGATGTGGAGGTTTTGGAAAGGGTACAGAAAAGATTTACCAGGACGTTGCCTGGTTTGGAGGGTATTAGCTATGAGGACAGTTTGGATAAACCTGGTTTGTTGTCACTTGAACACTGAAGGCTGAGTGAGGATCTGACAGAGTTTACAAAAGTATAAAAGACATGGATAGGTGAATAGTTGGGTTTCTTTCTCCCCCAGATAGAAATGTCAATTACTAGGGGATATGGGTTTAAAGTAAAAAGGGGGCAAGTTTATTAGAGATGTGAGAGGCAAGATTTTTACACAGTGGGTGCTAAGTGCTTGTAATGTGCTGTCAGACGATGTGGTAGAAGCAGATACAATAACAACATTTAACAGGCATCTTGACAGATACATGAATAGGCAGGAAAGAGAGGAATATGGATCATGTAGAGGGAAGGGGTTCTTAGTTTAGAAAGGCATCATGTGTCGGTGGAAGATTGGTGGACTGAAGGGTTTGTTCTTGCACTGTATTGTTCTTCACTCATTGAAGGGCTTTGCTGAACAAGTTCAATGTTTATGATTCCTGTACCTGATGCTGGCTAACAAATGATCTGATTTGCTGAATATAATTTCCTATCAATGTGCAATCAGCAGTCATAGTCCCTGGGTAGTTAGTCTACTATCGTAACCACCGACCTTACCCACAGTATCACTGAAATGGCCAGAAATAATTGGCCTGATATTTCCTTTCACATTCAAATGATAAGGCAGCAGCCAAGATTTTCCATCGTGCAAGAAGGAATTTATACATCTTCATAAGACAGCCAAGTATTAATATGTATCAAATTTCTGTTTTTATGAAAAGATTATTAGAAAGTATGTAGAATCATTAATTGAAACTTAGGACAGGATCCCTTTAACTTTACAGAATGTTTTATCTGAAACTTTTGTTTTAATGACACCTTTTGAAACGACTGAATTGGCATCATATATGCATGGTCAGGATTACCATAGCTATAGCATGCTTTTTGTCTGCATGTATTCATGGTAGATCCTGATAATATCTGCTAATTACATAACAGTTACATGCATAACTGCAGAATTGCTCAATTAACTTCCAATATGCAGTTCTGGCAAAGACTTTACAAGAGAGATATAACCTGTCTATTCAAATACTAACAAATCTGTATGTTTCTAACAGAACAAGGTGTAGAGCTGGACGAACACAGCAGGCCAAGCAGCATCAGAGGAGCAGGAAGGCTGACGTTTCGGGCCTAGACCCTTCTTCAGAGCCTTCCTGCTC